ATGTTTATTTTATGCAGCAATTAGAAATCTCTTTCTTTTTTTAATCATTTCACCCCAAGCAAGGTGGTAATGCTACTAGTATGCAGAGGGTTACAGGGAGTGAAAGTGAAAGAGAAGATTGAAAAAATGGAGGAATGAATAAAGGACAAAATATGAAGGAGATTCAAGAAGACAGAAGATGGTGATGGATATTGCTTTTAAATTTTTGCAGATTGTAGTTATCAGGAAAGCAAGGAAACTGAAGGGAGTTACCCAGGTGGGAAGTGCAAGAAAAGAAACTGTTGCAGTAGAAGTGGTGGTTGCATTCAGTTATTTCAACAGTAAAAGCGTGGGACCTAAATGCCAATCTAGTAGCTTAAATTCATATAGTTGGGGCATAATGATGAGAAAGTGACTGAAATCAAGATGCCTGGTTAGGATTAATAATTACATTAAAAATACTTCTTTGGATTTTGTTGAACCTCAAGATGTACAGCAGAAACAGCAGAACAGATATAGGAACAGTATTCATGGCAGATTTGTAAATGTGCAAGATGGATTCAAGTGAGAAAAATTTTCTGGCACATCATAGTGAACCAACTTTCCTTGCAATAGATGCAGTTATTGATTTGATATAGTTGCTTCACGTCATGTCTTTGGAAAATATGACACCAAGAAGGCACACTGTGTTGTTCCTCTGGAGTCTAGCATCATTTCTCTCTAGTGGTTAAATGAAAGCAGTTTTGTTTTGGAGGTGTTTTAAACCATTTCCTGTCCCAGTTAGCCACTGATTGGAGGTCCTTTTCAAGAGCAGATGTCAGGTTTAGTTTGTCAGATCTGACGAATTTAATATTGAAACAGGAGAGTTTCATGTTTCTTTTCAATTTTTGTTACAAAAATAATAAATAAAAAAAATAAAATCAGGTCAAAGTTAGCATGAATGCAGAGTTTACACAATGAATTTACAAACTGGAGAGGAAAATGCTTTATTGTTTAAGTTGGAGAAATTTACATTATTCGGACTATTGTCCTCATCTTCGTCACCACATATATCACATTTATCCACTGCCAAGTGTCCTTGAGGACACATGGCATGGTGGATAAAGGCGTTGGTTAGATCCAGTGACAGGACCAAAATAGTGAGTTCAATACCCAGTTAAGGCAGTGGAGAAGGAAAATTAACAGGAGATAACTGATAGCTGATGTCCATCAGGCTTGGCACATGGAACGGGAACAGTCTACCCCAGTGAGCAAAATAAAGTGTTCAGTTCGACATTCCAACCACCTGAAGAAGGCCAGAGCGTACAACGGCCGAAGCATTGTGATATATGTGGCGACAAAGTTCGAATAATGTAAATAATGTACATAATACCTCATCTCAGAAATATAAACAGACTTTGGAGAAATTTGTATTTCTCAAACAGAAATCTTACTATAATGTGCCATTTTTGCTGTTATGCAAAACACACCCATAAACAGACATTGGATATTATATTAGTTATTGTTTTAGTTTTTGTATAAGGAGTAAAAGAGATGGTATTCTAAGTGTTTTTCTACTTTGTTTCACATAAATTTAGTCTTTTGTGCTAGCAACTGAAAAAAAAAATGCTGCACTAATTGACACCAATGCAAAGGGACAAAAATGGAAAATCTTGGAAATTGAATCAAAGAAGAAGAATTATTTTCAAAAAGCAGTGAGAATAAGAATAATGACTGTACAACCTTGACGACATAAACAAAGAAAAATTTCTAAATATAAAAACTGAGGCAGTGAAATTAAAATCATGAAACTTAAGCAGCAGGATAATAACACCTGAAACAGATTCTCTTCAACTAATTAAGCAAGCAGCACATAAAAGGCACTTTACCAAATATACATAATGGAATATTCAAAAGACAATTCTTGTAGGCAGAGTAAATATATCCTATGAATAAGGAAAAAAAAACAATGAAAGAAACAGCAGGAGTGGATCTGAAAAGCCATAGTAAATAACATGTTTATATAAAAACATTCAAAGATGTATCAATTTTCTTTTTTTCCTTTTATTTCTACCATCGTGTGAAAGCACATGCAATACTCTGCCCTTGTCAGCAGGCAACCAGAGGAGGAAACATAGTTTTGGTGGCTAAGGCGGTACTAGCACCCCTGGTGCCATCTGCAGCTTTTACCACCAGATAGGGTATTGTTTTTTGTGTAGGTGTGATAGTGCAATTTTTATGCAACGACAAGTCAAATTTTCAATGTTAAAAGCATTTACTTTTCATCGTTAAACAAAACATAACAACTGTTATCAATGATGTAGGATTGAAGGAAAACAGACGTGTTTCATGTTGGAAGTAGCAATGTGTTGTGAGCATGGTTTTAATTAACTTTGTTTATTTTGGATCTTGACCTGATCTAACTTGATGCCTGTTGAGCTGTGGTCTGGAAATTACAATTATATTATGTTATTGTATTATAAAATCATTTTTATTTGTAATTTCTAAAGATGTAATAGATTTTTTCTATTTATTGATCCAACAGATTTTATCCCTTTAAATGTTATTTTTAGTGGATATTTGAGTAGATGGGCCAGTTATTTATTAAATAATATTGTTGGAAATTTAATGCCCCCCACAAAAAAACTGAGTCATTTGATGAACAAAATAAGATGATTGAATATTGTAAAAACGTATTTTATACAGGAAACAATACATAATGAGAAAGAGGATTGCTAAAAACATATTAAAAAAGTAAAAAGTCAAAACATTGGGGATGAAATCCAAATATATATCTGTTTAAAATAGTTGTTACATTCATCTTTATGATGTCCATATTCTGCTTGTTAGCTGCATTTTCCTTACATTTTTTAGGTTAGCTTGCACCCGACATGCCTATTCTTGAGTGGTCTCGAGACAGCCATTCGCTTCGTGTTCTATTTGGCATCTGTCAGCTGGCACTCAAAATCCTATTTTGCACCTAATGTTGGGCCTTGCCCATTATCAGTTTATAATAGACTCTTCTCATTATCAGCAGGAGCCATCCACCAAAAGGAGATGGCCTATAATTTTTATCGCACATTTATTTATTTTCAAGTTAATGGTTACATCTGCAGACCAATGATAAAGCATAAAATAAATATCACTTAATTAACATCTTATTTTATTTAATTCCAGATTTCATAAATTTCTGTCTCTGGATGTGGATATGCGTGGCCTTGGAGCCACTCACTCATTATACATAATATTGTTGCCATGTATTGTCAAATAGTATGTGTATGTGTGTGTGTCTAAGGTGGTTTTTGTTTTTTTGTTTAATGGCATATCAACTCCTTATGGGTCATTTAATGCTGAAATTTAATTTTCATCTAAGTAATAAAAATTATATATGTTATTTCGGCTTTGGATATGTGGTAGATATATACATGTTTGTGTTGATATGATGACTGATGCAGTGATATGCGTATTTTATGCTTTATTTTGCTGAAGTTATATTTTGGAAAACAGTTTGATTTCTTTATGAAATTGTAGGATACTATATGGATTAATGCCATGAAAAAGTTCTTTCATAATGGTTGTTTGATTTTTTTTGTTGGCATATCAACATCTCTATGGGTTATTTAATGCCAAAATCTAAATATTTTGTCTATAATCTTATACTTCCAGAGTAAAGGTATGTATTTAAGATATATAGTTTGCAGATTACAAAATACATTGTTAGTAATTTTACTATAAAAATGTACTTTTCATTTTTATTTAGGGTTTCACTATTTGCCTACAGCTGGGACCTTAACAAGTGCTACCAGCCCAGGTCAGGGTGGACCTGGGAACAGCAGCAATTAAGAGGTGGTTCATGTTCCTCAAAACATCCAATCCCTTGATCAGAGGCCTTACTGCAGGATGTAGTTTATTGTCATACCCAGAACACAGTTCTTGTTTGTGTTTACCATTCTGTCCAAAAGAATGGCTTTTAAGTAATGCTTAGTATTTTGGGTTGCACTAGTTGATATCCTTCTTGATGACAACCCAGATATCATAGTCCTAAGTTATTAGGGGAGAGAGATCTAAATTAGAAGAGCTAGGAACTTAGGGTGGTATATTTGTGATAATTCTTGTCCAGTCTATCCTGGGCCATGTGAGAGGAAGCTATGTCCTGCTTGGATATGGATGGCCTACCCCTTGACTTAGATCTTGATCAATGTGTCCCTTAATATAGGTAATGTCAGTGACCCCAAGATCTTGGCAATTCTAAGAGGAACAGAGGGAGACAGCGAGTAACTAACCTAATGTGATTCCATAAATAGATGCAACAGGGAGTTGGAAAATTAGTAAAAAGACAAACATGGCTAAGAACTACAAGTAATAAAAAGATGAGGAGAGTCATGATCCCCCATATCCTGAAGGGAGATGGCACATAGAAAAAGAACACCAAGTTACAAGTCAGTGACCGGTGCCACAAATATGCCATGCTTTTTCATTTCTCATCAGGTTGGAATCTTGATTCATGCGAAAGAAGAAAATGATAATGCTAAAATTTGGTGGGTGTATTACATGGAGTAATTTTTAATTTACGGCTCAGTAAAGATATGTTCTCAAATACCTTGTTTCTGCCATGTAAGCAATTATTTTACATCCAAAATTTTGCATGCCTATTGCTACTATATCACTATTTCCATGGCAAATGTTCTGATGAGCTATGTTTCCTGGTTTAATAAAGTCAAACCTTCCCTGATAACACCTGCATTGTTATGTACATAGGTTGGTTGTGTTTTTTGTTTAGTGGCATATCAACCTCAATGGGTTATTTAATGCTAACATCTCAATATTTTGTATGCAATTTTATTTTATTTTTGGAGATAGGAATTATTTAGTTAAACAAGTCCTACTAATTAACCCATAGCTGAGGGAGAAGAGGTGAATTCATAACTTTTTCAAGAGCTTTTGTGCATAAGTGAATATAATGAACTCAACTGGAATTGAAACTTGGTTCTCCGATTCATAATTTTGAGCCATTATTTATTACACCACCTGCACAACCAAACTTACAGCACTTGATATTCCCAAGTGATTACCCATCTAGGCACTGACCAGGCTATACTTTGCTTAACTTCAGTGATCATATGGGAACCAGTGTTCTGTGTACACTGGGGCAAACCATATTCATTTACTTTGGTTTAGTTTGTTTTGTTTACTGACATGTCAACTTGTTATGGGTCATTTAATCCTTGAATTTTATTTTCTTGTGACTTTAGTAATTTTTTAAAAAATGTATTGCTGGCAATTTTTTATTTTTTACAATGAAAATGTATTGCTGGTAATTTTTTATAATGTATTTTTATATTTTCATGTTTTGACACCAATTTGGGGGTTCACTATTTGTCCATAGCTGAGACCCTAATAGGTGCTACTACCTTGGATCAGGGTGAACCTGGGAAAAACAGCATTTAAGAGGTGGTCCGATGCTACTCAAAAGCTCCAATCTCCTGATCAGAAGCCTTGGTGCTGTATGTAGTTTATTGTCATACCCAGGACAATCATTCACTTCGTATTCTGTCAGTAAGAATGAATTGTCATATGCTCAGCTTCTTTCCAAGAATTGCTACTTTATGAAACAAACTCCTGAGGGGATGCTTCCTTGAACACTACAAATCTTAACCTTTTTAAAGTCAAACCATTACCTATTATATATATCTTCATTATCTGCACTTACAATGCCCTCCTATACTCATAAAAAAAACTCTTTTTAGTAATCCTCTACCTTGAGTTGTTCTTGGGCCTTCTATTGGGTAAGCATTTAATAAAAAAATTATGCACATTAAAATTCAGTTAAAATTTATTTTTTCAGGCTTTAAAGTCATATGTTTATGCACAGAATATTGTGGAAAATGAATACACCCTAATAATTATTCAGTCCAGGACAGACCTGAATAATGGGGCACCCAGTGGATATTGAACAGACTATATACTAGCAATGATCAAGAAGTAATCTTTCCAGATTAACTGATCAAATGTGCTTCATAAACAAAAAAATTCTTGTATGTGCTATGGCCCTTCAGAATGTGAGCGATCATAGCCCTCCACAACTTCCTATCCCTTAGCTCTTAGTAAAATTGATCTTTTTGACAAAACTTCCAACAAACTTGTAGTGCCATTCATTCACACAAACTTATCAGGTCAGTGGCCTGATACATTTCCTTGTCTCTTGCTTTTAATATGCCCTAGGAGTGTCAAATTATCCAATCCTTCCATCCTCATGATGTGTTCAAGAAATTTCAACAGTCTCTTTCTGATTCTAAGTATAAGTATCCTTTTTGTTTCTCTTTTCCTTAAAACTTCTTTGATTTTTAGGTACTCCATAGTATTCTCAACATCCTTCTGTACAACCACATTTCTGTTGCCTCCAATCTACTCTTCATCTGTGAGAAAATTGTCTCAAGTTTACTTCCATATTATAGGATTGATATTACAAAGTAGTTCAATGTTCTTTTCTTTTAAACACTGAAATAGTGTAACATGACTTTTTTAAAAACACAACAAAATCTAACATTACCAATTGACTATGGAGGAGTGTATTCTACTGAATGAACCCAAGCAAGATAGCAGCATTAATGCTATGGTGACATGCTTCAGTGATTTATTTTGTGATTTTTTTTTAAATGGATTATCAAATTTCAATAATATTATGATCAAGCATAGACTTATGAAAATCTAAGATGATTTGAAGGCTATGCTTGACTTTGATAAGTTTGAAGCTAAGAAATTAGACAAAATTCATTCTGATGCTGAGGACACAGATTTTGGCTGTACTGACAGTAAATCAAGTGCATGCAATTATTTTGCATATATTTTTGCAACTTTATTGTATTTGATTTCCAAGGCAACAACCAAAACCAGATATTCTTGATTAAGCATGATTGTATCAAAATATGTGTTTTGTATAGATGTGCTACTTTTGTTGCTGACAAATTGAAATTAAAGTTAAAACTGGTATAAATTTAAAAATAGATCCAGTCTGGATAAAAGATTATTTTCTTCAAAATTCTGGATCTACAATAACAGAAGCAATGGAAAGTAGGAAGAAAGGACTAAGCACAAGCTACAAGAAGACAGAAAGCATGGTCATCATCAAAATTACAAATTGAGGATACTAAAATCAAACAAGTAAAAAAATTTAAATATCTGGGAAGTGTTCTAACAGAGAACGGAAAGTGTAGCACTGAGATCCAAAGACAAAAGATGCATTCCAAAAGCTAAGCTGAGTATTAAGAGACAGGAAAATTTCACTAGAAACAAAGAAAAGAGTATTGATAACAGTCCTCCTGTATGTCAGTGAATGCTAGACAATCTTCTCATAGATGAAGAAGAGACTTGAAGTAACAGAAATATAGTTCTACAGGAAGATTCTGAGGATACCATGGACTGAACATGTGAGCAACGACAAAGTTTTGGAGAAAATGGAAACAAAAAGGAAACATAGTTAACATCAAGAAGAGGCAACTGAAATTTCTGTGGCACATGATGAGGAAGAAGGGCTTGGAAAATCTGATACTCACAGGACAGATTGAGGGAAAGCGGGACAGGAGAAAGCAGCATGTAACATACTTAGTGAGCTTGAGTAAATGGATAGTAGAACAGGGTTTGAGAGAAATAACAAAAAGATAAAACTTATTAAGAGCTAAAAGGAACAGAAAGATGTGGAGGGCTATGATCATCTATGTCCTGAAGCAATACAGCCCAGAAAAGGAGAAGAATATCTGAGAATCTGTTGCAAATTAAAGACCAACAGTGCCGACTGAAGGCAAGAGAGACAGAGAAAAACGCATAACGTTCATAATGAGATAGTGAAACAAGGTTTTGAAGATATAGCAAAAAGACAAAATTTAATTTAAGAGCTATGAGATACAGGAAATTGTTGAGAGCCATGACTGCCTTCATCCTGAAGGAGCACAGCACTTAGAAGAAGAAATCTCTTTACCAAGTGCATTAACATGAAGTGAACATAAATTCAAACTGAATTTAAACTAGGCTTACCAATTTCAGTTTCTATGCTGATAACTTTTATGCTAATCACCCATAACTTTAAGAGATTTTGAATGAAAATATCAGTAGTTTTCAACCTCAAAACCACAAGAGTAGCTCTGCAAGGGAAATAAACAGTTTACAAAAAGATGGATGCAGCAATTAAAATATATTCTGGACTGTAATTTGTTTATTTTGCTTTGTAGTTGTAGAATTAAGAATTCTTTTAAAACAGAAATCCTAAGATAATACTAAGACAAGTAGAACTCCTACCAAGATTTATCATTATAATTTTAACAACATAACATATACAGGTGATGCCATGTTAATGGCAGACACAAACAAAACTCTAGGAACTCCTAGACAAAGTAATAAAGGAATTTGTAAAGATGGGACTAATTTTCACTTTTAAGAAGACAGAATGTATATTTGCCAACAAGAGCATCGTAGATGTAAGCTGTAAATTGGAGATCAAGCAACTAGAGAAATTTGACTCTTTGCAAAGTGTTTCAATAGATGATAGAAAATGTGAAACCAAAAGCTGAAAACACATTGAAATATTAAAAGCTAAACAAAGTATTATGAAAAAGAAGAATTCATTAGAAACAACGAAAAGAGAGCTGAACTAATATGTAACATCCATTCATCTCCATGGCTGTAAATACTGAACAGTTTCCTCACAGGTAAAGAAGAGATTTGAAAATGGAAAGGATAGTAAAAAGACAAACATTGCTTAGAGCTACAATAGGAAGTTGTGGAGATCCGTGATCACCCATGTCCAGATTGAACACAGCACATAAAAAGAGAAGGAAAAAAGAAATAAATACATTTGATATACCTCTCATAATAAAAGTGAACATTTAGTAATGTCTTAAATTTATCAGGATATGAAACAAACCTCTTCATCTTATGTTCATATATTTATATAATAGTTTGTTTTATCAATGCCACGGAATAACTTTGATAAAGTTAGAAGTGGTTAAAGTTTTCAGTTACTGACATGATGAATGTTTTATATTAACCTGTTTATTACTGGCAGCCAAGCCAAAGAAAGAGTTAATAGGAACGAGAAAGAATGCAGAGATCCTGTAAGGCAAGGGAAGAGGAAGGGAAAAGTGTAATGGTTAACAATGTCTGAACATTGAATGAAACGGTGATTATTTTTATTCAAAAGGTGCTTAAATAAAGTACTTAAACCTTTAGCACTTTGTAGGTAACTATTTTTAGCTAGCAAAGTGTTAGTCTTGCAAATTGAATTTGAATTAGTTTGTTGTATAGTCATATCCTTCTATGGCAACACCTAAAACAACATTGACTGAAATTGAGAGCCAGGTTACTGCAATTTCAAACATAGAGAACTAATATATAAAATATAATTTGATGGGTATCCCATATACAGTAAAAGGGTAAGTAATATTTATAAATGATGCAGACTGATAAATGGTATCGAGGTAAACATGTCATATCCAGGATATTGACTGACAATCAGTCACAGTAAATCTGGCTAATTATTAGTGATGGAATGGAATAAACAGTCACCCCCATGAATGATTACACTAGGTAGTATGTACCTATAAAGTCAACTGTCTACAAGAGACTGGGGGAAGAGTAAGAGCGAGAAGACGCAAGCATATCCAACCTTTCAATTAGTGGCACTCCCTACTAGATTGACCTGTTGTGATGACTTAGCTCAGAGCTTGAAACATGTGCGAATGTGTCTTGCTTGCATGATAAATCTGAAAGAAAACATGGCTACTTTCAAAGACGCGATTTATACATGCCGGTCTCGTCCAAAACAAGATTGTACCAGTACACATGCAAATTTCAGCAGTGTCGGACTAGCATAAAAAGGTGAGGCGCCAGCGGTATGGCAGACAGCGAGTCATTCGGTGGATTTTGTGAAACAGAATCGTACATGTGAATAGACTGGCAGACCAAGAGGCGGTTGAAGTAGGCGTGTCTGATTTGGGTGTCCGTTTCATGACTGCCCGGTGTAACGGCCGAGAAAAGAAGTCTTGCAATTCATTTTGTTGGGACTTTTGGGTCATTTGATTTATCAGAAGGATTTTTGTTATTATCGGTTGCGTGTCTAACCGTGTCCCAAACAAATATACAAA